ATGGCAAGACTCAGATTCAGATGGTCGGAAATGGAATTTGAACAGAAAGCTTCACAAACAACATAGGTCTCCAAGACATTCAAACAAAACACACGCACATCGACAAAAAGGAAATCCCAAAAGTTACTCACGCAGAATGTAGTTGCCTAGACGGCAGTGAGAGACGCATTTCCACGGATCTTCAAAAACTGTCTGTCGAAGTCAAAAGAAGTGCCTGACTAACATCAAATACAAAGTAAGCGCATCAAGAACCCGCAATCCACCTAGCGGCCAAAGAGTTACTTCAGATTTTGGTTGAGCATCATCGTCTAGTCAGTTTTGACTGGAAGAACAGATAAACGTAGAGAATGATGTTTCACATCATCCGCACTGGACCCGGACTGAAATTGCCAAGCTCATGTAAACATGGTGGAAAAAGAAAAGCCAGAGGTGATCACTAGGAAACATCCTCTCAAAAGCAGAAAACAAGGTCATGATAGTCACTAGAAAATGGAGCAGGGGGCTTCTCTTGAGAGTTCCATGCCAAGCCTTGCAACAGGTGGGATTGCGTAGGAATCACCCACATGCGTCCACGCTTGTGGTGGACGCAACCATAACCGCCTAGCTTTGTCATGGAGATGCGTTGGCCTTCTCCTCCTTGGTGCACCGCTTCGCCTGTTCCCCCGGCTAAGCCGAGAAACTACACCGCATTCATTCTTGCTAATGGTGGTGCCATTGTAGAGAATCCTCCCAAGCTCATGATCATCCCAAGTTCTTTGGCCAAGTTTAGATCCCTGAGCAAAAAATGGTTCGCTGTCTGAGTGATGCAACTTGCTAGCTGCCAGACGGCCTTCACGGATGATGACAACAAAATTGCCCGTGAGCAAGCGTTAAACGAATCACTTCTGACAGGTTTATGTCAGGCGCTACCCTTCGAGGTGCTGGCGGCATATCTGATGGAACACTGGCTCGATTTTTGAGCACTGGAAGGGGCAACACATAAAAATGTTGAATTGCCTCTGGTGGTTCTGTTTGAGAACGGTACCAATTGGGATCATTTGCAGCAGTTCTCAACTCATGCCAATCAGTAACCATGATATCAGCATTGGCCAGCAAAAGGCCAAATGTTTGAAAAAAGGCTTCAGGAGTGGGGAAATCACGGCTCTGTTGTCTGTACGAATTTTCATACAGCGCAAAAAAATGGGCATCCATCGGTGCCTCTAGTGATGCCCGTGACGAAAGGCTGTAAAAGGTCGAGGGCTGTTTTTCGGCACCGATGGTGGTGGTGGAAGCCGAGGCGGTTTGCAATGGTGCTATCTGCAAATTGCCCGCCGGAGCATCAACCAAATTTCTGTTGGCCCATACACCTTGCGCACGAGAACGTGCAGGACTATACGTGACGTCTGTGGAGATCTTCTAGATTGACGTGATCTCATAGATTGGCTTGTTCTAGCCGATCGCCGATCGTCTAGTGAATCTAGTCCTTCTTGACCTGGATCTTCGAGAACTACGTGATCTACGTGGTCTATGACTAGCAGCTGACTAGCAGCATGTTCACGATCGAGTTCTTCTACATTGGGAACTGAATTCAAAAGTCGTCCAGCTGGATCTGCTGCCGTTGCACGGTTGGGCACCCCTACGTTGGGCAGTGTGACGGGTGCTGTTGGTGGACGACCTTGGGAAAACACTTGAATGGTGGCCGGTTGAAGTCGTTGGCCTTCCCCATCGGAAATCACGAACGGGGTGAACGTGGTCGTCGAGGAGTCAACGCTCTCAATGCTGATCTGGCTGGCGGTGCTTTTGCAGCTTGGCGAGCGTAATCACCCGCAATGAAGTACAAGTTGCATGTCATGGCTTTCACTCGAAAATCTTCAAAAGCAGAAACTTTGGGGAAGTGAGAAACGTATGACAAGTGAAAGCAGAACATTAAAATTTGGAACGTGGAAAACTTCCTGAGCAATCTCATGAACAATTTCAATTTAGGTCGTGAGACTGAGCCGAAGTGACCGTGCAAGAAGGAACAATCAGACTCACGAGCTTCGTTTATGTTCAGCGGATACACGACGAAACCTACGAAAAAGCTGAAATCTGCACATGAAGAGCAGTGGTAATGCAACGGCAGAGCTGTACATAATGGAAAGTCAACTGAAAAATTGGATTCTTTGCCTTGTTTCTTTTGGCCCTTTCAGATGAGGGTCCGGAAGCCTTTGTCTGGCATTGGGTAAACCCCAAAAAAACTCAGAGCTGTTCATGGTACAAGACCATATCAGATATTTTGGGAGCGCCGGAAGGTAAAACATGCAACAAGAGATCTTGGATCTCAAGGAAAAATGTCTCGTGAATTACTCAAGTTGAAGAACATTGGAAAATTAGTTCCCAAATCATATCGTGATTGCAGAGAATACAGATGGAAACAATCATGATCGAAACGATCCAGCAATATTGCCTTGTTTTCCCCGAGCAAGGAACAGACATGCAGGCTCATGGCCGAAGCCAGTTCAGAGAAAGCAAATTCACACGCCGGCAATCCTTGATGATTTTATACCGGATCACGACCGGACCAAGACGGACTCTCGGCAGAAGACACTCTTGACAGACCGTTTGTCGTCTATGAGTCGCTTTGTTTCCCATCAAGGGATCTGGAGATTCCAGTTTCAGGCCTTTTTCGGCACAAAAGAAAATTGAAACTGCTGTGAGGAAGTCTGTTCGAAGAAACTGCTGAAACGGATTCTGTTCTGTACACACTGAATAAAAACACTGCAGGTACGTGGAGTTGATCAAACTCCATGTCCTATAGTCTACTGCATGGAGCTTCGTTGGCGACAGCCATGCAGCGATGAATAGTTAAAACTTGGACACCAGAGTAAATCCGATTATTAGCCCTTTGGTACAGGGGTTGCCCCCACACACACACACACTGGACTGGTGATGAGAATTAAGGTGGTTCCAAAGGGGGTGCTCCTCGAAGTCCGAGTTGAGGTCGAAAAGTGCCAAATCACTTGAATTCGAATCTGTGTGAATGGAAACACAATACAGCACTGAACAGAAACAGAAATCAACAGTTGAAATTGGTTTGGCGCAGGTGCACACGGGTGATCAATCCGTGCTTCCTGGGATGCGTGCAAAGAGCTTCGTTGGGCAGAGCTTTGCAAGCCCCCTCTGCCCCCCTGCATTGAACTATATGCGTCACTGTTGACTTTGCAGCAAACGGCTGTCGGCACCCATTCCCTGTGCTAGAGGGGTTCACACACACTCACAATTTTGTCACACACAATGTTTCGCACACAACTTGCGTGGCAGGCGTGGCGCTTGGCGACATCGACCTTCCCTTCGCGTGGCATGCGTGGCACTTGGCCACATCCACGTGCCTTGTGCGTGGCAGGTGTGCCACTTATGGCACTGGATCTGGTGGTGCGTTTGGTCCCCATTGGTCGCCCGCGCCAGTTTGGGTGGCACTTATGGCACTGGCCGTTGGTCGCCCTTGACGCCGCACCACTTGGCGTTGGCGGCATCCACGTTCCATGTGTGTAGCAGGCGTGGCACTTGGCGACACCCACCTTCCATTTACGTGGCGTCCACATGCCTTTTGCGTGGCAGGCGGCACTTAAGGCACTGGGCTGGATCTGGCGGCGCGCTTGGTCCCCGTTCATCGCCCGTGACGCTGCGTCACTTTGCGTGACAGGCGTGGCACTTGGCGACATATGTTACGTTGATGATGTTCAGGGGTGGGGTGGGGCGGGATGTAAATGCTCATATACATGTTAACTGTTCACAGAAGTTGGCAGCCATGAGCGTCGTTTCATGGCTAGAAGTAGTTTTTCGAAAGAGGGAAAAAAGGGCCTGCAGAGCTCGATGCGCAGTTACAAGGGAATTGGACACAGAGACCCTTAAAAACACCAGGTGCCTCTCAACACCGTTCCCAATCTACCTAATCTACCTAATCTACCGAAGCTAAATCCAATCTAACCTTATCTAATCTAATCTAATATTCTATCCTAATCTATCTAACCTGTCTGTCTGTCTGTCTGTCTGCCTGTCTATCTCTCCACCTATCTTTTTATCTAAAGAAATTACACAAACAATATGTACATATATATATATACAAATGTGTGTATTTATATTCAAGTTTATATTTATGTTATATCTATATATTAGTAGAATTAAGCTCTTTTATCAATAAACAAATACAAAAATAAGTAAGAAATATACATATTTACTATATGCATGTATTTTTTTTACAATTTTGCATTTTTTTTGTATTTGTACATGTATATCTATATGAATATATATATATATATATGTATGGATGTATGTATGTATGTATGTACGTATATATATATATACTAGTTGCTGCGTCAGTCTATATATTCAAAGGTCTGTACACATGTGTATATATGTATATATGAACCAGCGTATATAAATATATATATATGGGTATGTGTGTGTGTATTAATCTGATACATGTTTGCATATATTAGTATGTGTATATACTATACATGTAGATAGATATATTCCAAGGCTGGAAAATAGACCAGGCGTCACGATGCCTGGCTTTGCCTAAGCACTTTCCATGGCACGATTTCATCGTCCACGCGTGCTCTGGCGCTGGACGGAAAGTATAACATGTTTTTTCAAGCCCCGACACCTTACAAAATCCCACGCAAAACAGTTTGAGCAAAGCATTGCCTCACAAAGGAGTGCCACCGCAAAAAGGTCAAAGAATCAGAAGTTCTGCAGTCTAATCCTGTTGTTTGCATCTGCTTACCAATCAAGCCTCGTGTCATGTCTGGCTTTGGGGTCAACCCTGAAAGATTCCAACTCTGACTTGTCGGATGAACTCACATCGTCGAAGCTTATGGGAGCCTACAGAGCGAAATCACACCCGCATCTTTTCTTGGTGTCAAGCTCGCACACTTCCCAACGCCAAAGCGAAGCACCCACCGAGGCTGAGTATATGAAATACATGTCTTTAAATGTCTGTTTGGAGGTCTTTTTGGATCTGCAGGATTGGATGCTGGATGCCGTAACAAAAGTTGCTGCCTTTCACCTCTGAAGTCATGTGTGTCCCAATCATCTACCTGGTGGCATCATGCCCATCATCGGAGGCATACCTTGAAAGCAGTCAGAAAATGAGAACAAAACTTTACAGGGGGTGCATAATCTCGCGCGCGCCGACCATATGTTTGATGTGTCCATGCTATACAGTGCCTGTTCGGAATTCCCTCACAAACCTGCCTGGAACCACCCACAGGCCGACGAACTGACTTGTACAGTTGGAACCGTTCGAACATGACTCAATGGGACGGACGCAAGCGATGGCACCATTGCAGATTACACCATCTCACCTACATTGTATGCCTGCCTTTGACACGTTGTAATTCAAAATCGACAGGGCAGGAGGGAGAGAAGGAGCGAGTCAAGGAGGAAGCCACACGTAAGAACAGCGAACTTACAAACAGCCTCACAGACGTGCAGGGCAGACTGCACACATGCGAACAGGCAGGGTGGCCAGGACGGACAGACCTAACAAGCAAAAGAAGACGACAGTATGATGAGTGATGAATTGCGATGTTGTTGTTGATGATGGTGATGATGATAATGACGATGATGATGATGATGATGATGATGATGAGGAGAATGACGATGATGAAGACGATGATGATGATGATGATGATGATGATGATGATTGTGATGATGATGATGATGATGAGGATGATGATAATGAGGATGAGGATGAGGGTGATGAGGATAAGGATAAGGATGAGGAACCATCATGAAGATGAAACCGAATGATGACTGATGTAGATGAAATATTATACATGGACCGCTTGATACATTATGTCTTCCAAAAGAGGTTTGCTCCAGGGCTGGCACGTAAGTTATGCTCAGAAAAAAAATGTCAACGGGATCTAGCTGGATTCCAGCAGATACGTTGGCAAACCATCTATGCTGTTACTGGTTGTTGAACCGTAAAGTTCAACATCCGTGCCAGATAGACATTGCGAATCCCTACTGGCCACATCTGCGACATGAAGGGTCGCCTGAGCGAAGCGCATTCTATAAGTCTGGGATTTTTGAAAAACCGGGGACTCACAGAATCAACGGTATCTTATGCGATGCGATCAATCTTGACAGAAGTCTGTGAAACTAGGATTTGGCTTTCTGTCACTTCAGTGGAATCCAGAAGCTTTCAAGCTTTCACACACAGAAGCACAGAGAGCAGCTTTTGCACAGAGACACTTGACACACAGATCCTTTTACTCACAGATGCTTTTCACACAGTAGCTTTCACACACCTCTCTTGCGTTGCGCAAAAGTCTTTGTGCTGAACTGACACAAGCTCGCGATCCCTGACTATACAACTACGCCAAAAACGCTGGAGATCGCAGTGCGCCGAGAGAAGAACCACGACCGAAGAGGGCCTCCAAATCCTCGTGATCAGCAACCTTCGGGTGAGGGGGGATACAGCCAGAAAACGCCAAGCCCCGAAAAGATGCACCGAGTGCCACAAGGCTCTGCACACTAGAAGCCTTTACGCCAGAGGCTTGTGCACAGAGAAGCTGTTACACACAGACGGCAATCACATAGACAATTCACACACAGACGCCTTTACACACAGACGCAATCACATGCAGAATTCACACACAAAGACTTTGGCACACAGACGCCTTTACACACAGAGCACACGCTTGGAAACACGCCGAAGGAAGAGGATGAAAGATGAGGTCAGCAATGTCATGAAATTCACATGCGCAAATCAATATTCCAAAGCAGCCACAAATCAAAAATCACAAAATCTATATGACAGGACCATGATCAAAGGGAAAATGCAAGTAGACAGTTGCGGTTCTCGGCTTAGCCGCTTGCCATTTTCGGAGTTTACGAGAAAAGCATGTGCACAGTATACTGGAAGGCGTCCCTTCCCGCTTCTCAGTTGTGTGTGCGTCTTCGCTGGTCCAAGGCCAACTCACAACTGCCTGGACCCCTGCTATCAGAGTTTAGTTTGGTGTTTACGTACATGCATATAACCCTTTGCTGCTAGGCTTGACACACAAAGCAAACCGCATGGGCACGGTTTTGCAAGCAGCTTGTGGAGCTCCTCATTGCGTGCCTTGGTCAACAAGCTGAACTCTGGTTGTATGAATGGAACTTGAAACGTGCGTGACATGGAAGCATGGAAGACGCGTTGAGTTCTGGAAATGAAAAATTATTGCAACTCCGGCGCGCTCTGAAAATGCAATCTGGCGAATTCTGAAGATAATCTGCTTCTGCTGGAAAATTCTGAAACGTACTCCTGGATGCTTGTGCGAAATCTGCTTCTGGTAACATGAAGTCTGGGAATTCTGAAGATATTCTGGCATCGCCAGTGGACGCACCACCAAGCTTCCCGGCACTTTATCAGATATCCGGGCGGTTACAGTACACATTTGCAAACACCCCGAAGGGAGAGGATGAGATGACATGAGGTGAGCACTGTCGTGAAATTCAGATGCGCAAATCAAGATTCCAAATCAACCACAAATCTTATCTAACTTGGAGAGTAAGCTCTGTTGAGGGGCACGGTCCTAAAAGATTGACGGTACGGTGAAGGGTACGCGACGTTGGGTACGGCGGTACACGGTACGGTGGGTACGGTGGTACAGTACGGTGGGTACGGTGGTACGGTACGGTGGGTACGGTACAGTGGGTACAAGCGTGCGCACCCACTGTACCGTACCCACCCTACTCACCGAAAAACCCAAAACACAGATTCCAGATGACATGACCATGATCGAAGTGACAATGCGAGTAGGGTCGACAATTGCGGTTCTCGGCTTAGCCGCTTGCCATTTTAGGAATTTATGAGAAAAGCAGGTACACATGGCGCCCTAGTGCATAAAACCCTTTGGTGCAGGGCTTGACGCGCACACATGCTTTTAGACAAAGAAGCTTTACAAGCAGCGGCTTTTACGCAGAGAGGCCTTTACACATAGAAGTTTTTACACAAAGATGGCTTGACACACCTAGAAGCTTGTACACGTAGATGTCAGCTATTACACACACACGCTTTTACACCGGAGAGGCTTTTGCACAGAGAAGCTTTTGCACTCAAACGCTTTTGCGCACGAGATGCTTTTACACGGAGAAGCTGCTGAAAAGCACGCACCATCCCCGCGCACGGTTGCGCTAGCACAAACAAAAAGCACGACATTTTTGGACGTCCAACATGCACGATCTCGGCAGAGGGTTGCGCCGGGCGCCAACAAAGTCGCATTCTACTATAGATGCTTGGGCCTCCGACGTGGACGATCTGCGCAAAGGTTTGCGCGCGACAAACAAAATTTGCATCTGACCATTCCGTTGGACACCCGACACTGACAAAATTCACACTTTAGTTTATGATACGCTTGGGCTTCCGACTCGCACGACCTCCACAGAGGGTGCTCGGGCATTCGCATCTCACTGCGCGTATGGACGTCCGAAACGTAGGATCTCCGGAGAGGGTTGCTCCAGACCAGCACAGATTGAAATTATACCACAGTTTCGCGCGCAACCTCCGTGCAAAATGACGTTTTGATGATGGACGTCGCCGGGGTGCCCCAGCCGCCTTAAGAGAAATGCAGAAGACTCGACATTGGTTCATTGCAGGTGTTTTGAAGGGCTCATAGAAGTTGATCACATACATCTGCTACACCCGCCTTAGATGATGTATATAGACGATTAAGGCACCTGCAAAGATGA